ATTATTGTGTTTTTGTAGCGCTGCGCCTATTTATTTATTATATGTTTCTGAAGGTTTTTTTACTGGTTACTTTTGGTGTCCTAGCTGCTTACTAGAGAGAGCTCGCTTTTTCTACTATATTTTGGTGGAACATTACCCCTCTGTGTTGGTGGTCAGTGGAACATTGCCCCTCTGTGCTGGTGGTCAGCGTAACATTGACCCCTGTGCTGATGGTCAGTGGAACAGTGCCCCTCTGTGCTGGTGGTCAGTTGGTAGTTCTGAAAATTAAATCCTTAAAGTGTGGAATTCTCTGCCAAATCATTTTAAGACAATGAAAGCACATGCGATTGTTTTTCTTACTTTGTTTGGATCATCTTATGCTTGTGAGCAGCTGTTTTCAGCTTTGAATTATATCAAATATGATACAAGAAACAGACTAACAGATGACCTGGGTGCTGCATGTGTTGCTCTCAAAACAATGAAGTATGAGCCACAATTTGACAAATTATCAGCATGCATACAACAGCAAAGATCACATTAATTGTGCAAAAGCACATCAAACGCAAACTTTTACTTTTCAGTAAAAAGCTGTTTGTATCATTGAAAGCTCTGGTATTGTGTTTATCTTTTAAAACAAAATATGTTAATGTACAAGTTGTTTTTTCTAAACTAAAACCTCATAATTCAGGTTTAATTGCAGTGTTGGCACTTTGCAATAAATAAGTTGGTTTTGGGCACTTGAGCTCCAAATGGTTTGCCATCACTGCTCTATGGTGTAGACATACAAAAAAAGTATGCGAGTTGTTTGGAATTATACTACAAGACTGAATGGGGGAGGGAGAGGGAAAGGGAAGGGGGGAGGGTAAAGGGTGGGGAAGGAATGGAGAGAGGGAAGAGGAAGGATGGAAGACAGCAGGGTGGGCAAGGAGAAAAAAAGGGGGGGAAGGAGAAGGAAAGAGGAGGAAAAGTTGGAATGCATGGCACCAGGAGCTAACTAATAAAAATGAAGAGGCAATAGTAGGAAAGTCAGGGGGACCATAAGGCAGTTTTGCCATTTAATGGTCATTAGTCATCATGGAAGGAGCCACCAGAGAGGAAGGAGGGAACTAGTCAGATGAGAAAAAGGGACTGTTCAAGTATCCCTAGAGAATAGAGAGCGCTGGGAGGCCTGGCTGGAAGATCCAGATCTGGGCCCATTGCTATGGATATGGATAAGTATGGATATGAATGTCTGCTGAGGAATGCCAGTATGGGATATCCACTGGACGCAAATTGAGCTGAGCCAAAATGTGAGGCAGGTCACCCTTATCATGCAGAGTGATCTGTTTACCATCCTTGTGAATGGAGAGGCTGAAAGGAAATCTCCAGCGATAAGGAGGCTCAGCCTCTCAGAGCGATTCAAGCAGTGGTTTCGATGCCCTCGGGAAATGTTCGGTTACAATGACCGTTTAGCTCCGTCAAAGTCCATATAGGAAATCCTTTGCAGGTAGAAGATGATATGTCCCTTTACAGAATATTTATGTAATTTGCAGATTATGTCCTTGGGCTGGTCGAGGTCATCTGATGGCTGTCTGAATGCCCTGTGGGCACGATCAATCTCAACATACAGTAGGCCATCACGACCTAGGATTTGCTTGCAATCCCTAGATGAGGTAGCCCCTGGCAGGTCTCTGAAGTGAATATTGGCCCTGTGGCTCCTATTTTCGTAGTCGTCAAGTTGTTCAAGTAAGGGGTCAATCTGCTTATCTTGTGTGGAGCATTTGTCCTTCAGGTCAGCAAGTATTTCCTTCACACAGGTTTCTAAAGACTCAGCTCTACCCCCAAGGTATGTAGTCTCAGCCTGTAGGTTCTCAGTATCCTGACGCAAGGCCTTCTCAACCTTCGTGGCGAGCTGCTCCAAATCTTCTTTTGTGGGTGCGGAGGTCATGATCCCCCAACACATCTCCCACATCAGAGCACTTGTCATGGCCATCCAAGGAGCACAGGGAGGCAGGAGGAGGAGGGATCGATTTGGGCACTAACGTAGGAGAAGGTATCAGAACAAGCGTGTATAAGGTGGAGGTGTCACCAGCCAGCGCCATATTGGAAGACTCAGTGAGTCCCCGGTGGCCCTCCGAGAAGCAGGCATCTATAGAGCTGGAATAATGCCAAAGGGTCCACTGAAATTGAGGGGACTGTCGCAGCTTAGTATGCATCATGGGGAGGGAAAATGCCCCCAACAGGTCACTGTATATGCTGTTGTAGAAGCGGGTTGCCCAAAGCTCACACAACCTCATGCTCTCATGCCGAAGCCACTCCCCTTGGATTTGCTATTTATGTTATTTAAGAGTCATTGAAGTTGGGGGGACTGTCGCCGCTTAGTATGTATCAAGGCGAGGGAAAATGCCCCCAACAGGTCACTGTATATGCTGTTGTAGAAGCGGGTTGCCCAAAGCTCACATGTCCTCATGCTCTCATGCCAAAGCCACTCCCCTTGGATTTACTATTTATGTTTGTTTAACAAACATCTAAGTATATGCACTGCTCAAAAAAGTAATGGAACACTTTTTAGTCAGAGTATAGCATAAACTCCTGGGATATTGATCAGGTCAGTTAAGTAGCAGAGGGGGTTCATAATCAGTTTCCGATGCTTTGGTGTTAATTAAACAACAGGTGCGCTAGATGGGCAACACTTAGATGACCCCAAAACAGGAATGGTTTTACAGGTGGAGGCCACTGACAATTTTTCCCTACTCATCTTCTCTGACTGTTTTTCACTCGTTTTGCAATTGACTACGGTCAGTGTCACTTTTTGTAGCATGAGGTGATACCTGGACTTTACAGAGGTTGCACAGGCAGTCCAACTCCTTCAGGATGGCACATCAATACGTTCCATTGTCAGAAGGTTTTCTTTGTCTCCCAGCACAGTCTAAAGAGCATGGAGGAGATTCCAGGAGACTGACAGTTACTCTAGGAGAGCTAGAAAGGGCCTTATAAGGTCCTTAACCCATCAGCAGGACTGGTATCTGCTCCCTTGTGTAAGGGGGAACAGGATGAGCACTACCAAAGCCCTACAAAATTACCTCCAGCATGCCACTGGTGTGAATGTCTCTGACCAAACAATCAGGAACAGACTTCATGAGGCTGGCCTGAGGGCCCAAGGTCCTCTAGTGGGCACTGTGCTCACTGCCCGGCACCATAGAGCTCGATTAGCATTTGCCATTGAACACCAGAATTGTCAGGTCTGCCACTGGCACCATGTGCTTTTCACAGATGAGAGCAGGTTCGCCCTGAGCACATGTGACAGACGTGAAAGGGTCTGGAGAAGCTGTGGATAATGTTATGTTGCCTGTAACATTGTTCAGCATGAAAATTTTGGTGGTTGGTCAGTGATGGTCCTGGTGCACGACAATGCCTGGCCTCATGTGGCGAGAAGGAATTGATACCATTAAATGGCCCCCACACTTGGCTGACCTAAATCCAATAGAACACCTCTGGGATATCATGGTTTGGTCCATCTGAAGCCCCCAGGTTGCACCTCAGACTGTCCAGGAGCTCAGTGATGCTCTGGTCCAGATCTGGGAGGAAATACCCCAAAACACCATCATCTCATTAGAAGCATGCTCTGACATTGTCAGGCATGCATACAAGCACGTGGGGACCATAGAAACTACTGAGTACCATTTTGAGTTGCTGCAATGAAATTTCAGCAAAATGGACTAGCCTGCTGCATAATTTTTTCACTTTGATTTTCAGGGTGTCTTTGAATTCAGTCCTCTGTAGGTTGACAATTTTCATTTCCATTAAACGATGGGGCATCCTTGCGTTCCTAACACATTACCCTGGTGCACAACAATGCCGGGCCTCATGTGGCGAGAGTATGCAGGAAATTCCTGGAGGAAGAAGGAATTAATACCATTGAATGGCCCCCCACACGTGCCTGACCTAAATCCAATAGAACATCTCTAGGATATCATGTTTTGGTCAATCCAACACTGCCAGGTTGCACCTCAGACTGTCCAGAAGCTCAGTGATGCCCTGGTCCAGATCTGGGAGGAAATACCCCAGGATACCAACTGTCGTCTCATTAGGAGCATGCCCCGACATTGTCAGGCATACATACAAGCACGTGGGTGCCATAAAAACTACTGAGTACCATTTTGAGTTCCTCCAATGAAATTTCAGCAAAATGGACTAGCCTGCTGCATTATTTTTTCACTTTGAATTCAGTCCTCTGTAGGTTGATAATTTTCATTTCCATCAAAGACACCCTGAATATCAAACGATGGGGCATCCTTACCTTCCTAACACATTGCCCAGTCCATATCAGTATAGATTTCTAGCATGATATTTTTTCCCCATTGAGATCTAATATGTTTTCAAAGTGTTCGTTTGATTTTTTTGAGCAATGTAGATTGTTACCAGAGTGTCTGGTGACACACAGGTGATAATCTCACAACATTGGAAACTTGTTTTAACTCTTTTGCTACCAGATCCACACGTCATACCAATCTGACAGTGGGGGGGGGGGGGGGGTTTTACACACAATCAATCGCTGCAGCCACTGGGATTGTGTCTAAGATTGACAGGCAGACTCTGCTGCCCATTTGCTTCCACAGCCCCCAGTAATATGCCCCCCTACATGTTCACTCCTGTCATGTGGGCCCGGGGTGCTGGTGGGTGGAGGGGAGAGAGGACTCAAGTCCGCTCTCCTCCCCTCCTTGTTATGATCCGGAAAGTGACATGTATGACATCACTTCTGGGTCACCGCTATCATTTCAGTACATCCAGTGGTGCCCAGAAGAGGCATTCAGGGTATTTTAGACTCTGCATGTTTCATTAACCACCTCCTGCCTGCCATATAAGGAAATGACGGGCACAAGGCAGTTCCCTCATTCTGGGAGGACGTCATATGACGTCCTCCCACTCTAACTACGCGTGCGCACCCCCGGGGGAGCGCAGGGCAGCGATTGGTGGTGCGCTGTGTCCCTGGGACATAGTGGATCAGCAGAAAGAGCAGATGACTTCGGCTCTGTCATGTGATCAGCTGTGTCCAATCACAGCTGATCACATGTAAATAAGGAAATGTCGGTTATCGGCATTTCTCTCCTCACGAGCTGTCATGCTGACAGCTCGTGAGGAGAGGAGAGCCGGTAATCCGCATTCCACAGAGGGGACATCTACACTGATCATCAGTGCCACATGTCAGTGTCCGTCAATGTCACTTGTCATTGCCCATCAATGTCACCTGTCAGTGTCTATCAATGCCACATATCAGTGCCTACCAGTGCACATCAATTCCACATATCAGTGCCCATCTGAGCTATCTTTCAGTGCCAACTATTAGTGCAAGTCAGTGCCACCTATCAGTGCCAGTCAGTGCCGCCTACGAGTGCTGCCAACCAGTGCCGCCTATCAGTGCCTATCAGTGTCAACTATCAGTGCCCTTCAGTGCCGCCTAACATTTTCAGTCAGTGCTGCCCATCAGTACTGCTTATCAGTGCCATATGAGTACTGCCTTTCAGTGCCCATCAGTGATGTCTGTGAATGCCCACCAGTGATGTCTGTCAATGCCCATCAGTGCCACCTACCAGTGCCTCCTCATCAGTGCCGCCTATCAGTGTCCATCAGTACAGCCTATCAGTGCCCATCACTGCAGCCTCATTAGCGCACATCAATGAAGGAGAAAAGTTACTCATTTACAACATTTTATAACAGAAACTAAGAAAAAAACTTTTTTTTTTCAAAATTGTCATGGTTTTTTGATTTGTTTATCAAAAAATATAAAACAAAGTGGTAATTAAATACCACAAAAAAAGCTCTATACGTCTCAAAAAAATGATAAAAATTTCATATGGGTACAGTGTTGCATGACCGCGCATTTGTCATTTAAAGTGCGACAGTGCTGAAAAGAGAACCTGTCACCTAAAAATAATTACATAGGGGACTTTGTGTCCCCTAGGTGATGAAAAAAAAAGTTGAGTAAAAAAAAAAAAATTTCCTTACAAAAAAATAGAGCTAAACCCAAGCACATAATATCCCTCCCCAAAAATTTTTTGAGGCCATCTCCACATATATGTACGAACGCATGTAAACACACATGTCAATGGTGCCTATGCGTGAAAATGTTGATTGCAGTACACATGATACATGTCACTGCACATGCCAGAGTGAGAGCAATAATTCTAGCACAAGACCTCCTCTGTAACACTAAGGTGATGACCTGTACGGGCTTTTGAAGCGTTCCCTATAGAAAATATAGGGTACTAAAGTTTATTGTCATTTCACAGGCACATGCATATTTAAGCCCTTGGAGACAGCGCCTCCCAGCCCTTTAAGGGTTTCAGAAGCCGGGAGGCGGAACCAGGCTTTAAGGTCATGTGATCGCTGTGATTTTCCATCACAGTGGCCACATGATCAGGAAAGGTCCCGATCGAAAGAGGAGATCAGGACCTTTTCGTGAGTACCGGACACGTGTGCTGGGAGCACGCAGGGCATGCGCTCTCAGCACATATGTTTTTCTTAATTGCACACAAATGTGCGGCCGCTCGGCATCAAGCCCCAGACGCCCTGAGGCCGTACCTTTGAGTGCGGCCGGCGCAAAAGAGGTTAAGGTTTGACATGTTGGGTATCTATTTATTCGGTGAAACCTTACCTTTTATATTTTACAAAAAGATTGTATAGTTTATTGCGTTTTTTTAGCCCTAAAATTCACTTTAGGTTTTTTTTACTGAAATGTTGTTTTCTAGACCTTTTTGGTAATGTTTTGTGACATAAAAAAATTTTATTGTCTAGGGCGCTTTAAGAAGATATATAATATTTTGGGGTTTTGTGTAATCTTCAGGACTAAAATTATTTTTTTAAATATGTATGTAAAAAATGCAAAAACGTCTCTGGCAGTTACATAGTTAGTCTGGCTGAAAAAAAGACAAAAGTCCATCCGGTTCAACCATCAAAAAAAAAAAAAGTTATTATTCTATGCCCACAGTTGATCCAGTGGAAGGCAAAAAAACTCAGCAAAGCATGATCCAATTTGCTCCTGCTGGGAAAAAAAATCCTTCCTGATCCCCTGAGAGGCAATCAGATATTCACAGGATCAACTTTACCTATAAATGTTAGTATCCAGTTATATTCTCTGTAACTAAGAAAGAATCCTTTTTTGAAGCAATTCACTGAGTTGGCCAGAACCAACTCTTGAGGGAGTCTATTCCACATTTTCACAGCTCTCACTGTGAAGAAACCTTTCCATGTTTGGAGATTAAATTTATTTTCCTCCAGATGTAAAGACTGCCCCCTTGTCCTCTGTGATGACCTCAGGGTAAATAGTTCTATACCGAGTTCACTATATGAACCACTGATGTATTTATACATGTTGATCATATCCCCCCTTAATCTCCTCTTCTCAAGAGAGGACAAATTCAGTTCTAATCTTTCCTCATAGCTGATCTCCTTCATGCCTCTTTTCAGTGAAAAGGCTAAAGAGCTTAAGATAGAACATAAAGTGGGAACAACACAAGTAGGCAGGTGG